ATATTCTAAAATACCTAACCATAAAAGCTGAATTCTTACTTGCTAGTATTGCGGTTTATTTAATTTTTTATTTTTAAAACTCAGCAAAAAGGGTCTCGCATTAAAGAGTTCAGCGCGTTTTCCACCACTATACATAATCATTTAGAAGAGAAGATATAGTCGGGTATTTAAAAAAAAATTGTATGCGCCTTGGCCACACTGGAGAATTGAAACTTACATTACATATCTATTTTGTCTCATATCCAATGTACATTCCCAGCAAACATTTGGAGTCATAAATGAGTCTTTAAGGAGTCCCATTTCGGAGCCTTTGTGATCATAATGAGCTCATTTAAGAGTCCGAAATGAGGGTGTTTCCCTTCCTGCGAAGGTCGACCTATATGAGCTCAAATTCATACATCAAATGAGCCTCATATACGGCTCATTTTGGACTCTTTTTGAATCTCTTAAATGACTCGTATTGGCCTCATAAATGCCTACTTTCGGACTCTCATTGTATGCTGTTTTGTGACTCTTATTGGCTTTATTCTTCAACTCTCTTAATGAACTTACTTTAGAGCCATGTTAGCAAGGAATTCATTTCAAATACTGTTGCATATTTATATACAAACCTCTGCGCATACATATATATGTACATATATTGCAGCATTCATGTAATAGCAGTTGCTGCAGCTAAATTTTGTTTATTTTTCCTTCCTAATTATTTTTCATATCTGTATAAACAAGTTTAGATATAAATTTCTAGTCGTTATTGTTTTTATACTGGCACAAAGTGCTGGCTCATAACTTGGATCATATATGACTCCTAAAAGATTCATATAAGAGTAAAAAAATGTTTGTTTTTGAAACTCATATTTCTTACTTACCTAGGACTCCTTTCCGACTCATATATTTAGCAGCTTCATGTAATAGCCCCGCAAACATATTCTGAGCGTTCAGAATATATGAGTCCGAAAGGAGTCCTAGGTGGGTAAGAAATATGAGTTTCAAAAACAAAAAATTGTTTACTATATGAATCTTTTAGGATTCATATATGATCCAAGTTATGAGCCAGCACCTTGTGCGAATATAAAAACAATAAAGATTTGAAATTTATATCTAAACTTGTTCATACAGAAATTGAAAATAATTAGAAAACAAAAAATGAACAAAATTTAGCTGCAGCTGCTGCTATTGAATGCATGTTGGAATGTGTATATGCACGTAAGTATATATGTATGTTATTTGAAAGGAATTTTTGCTGAATGCCTTTGCAAATATAGTGAGTTCCATAAGACTCAAAGAATAACGTAAAATAAGAGTCCGATTGTAGTAATTTATGAGGCCGGTAAGTCTTAAAAAGAGTCTGAAATGATTCCTATATGAGGCCAAAAATTGTTTTAAAAGAGTCCAAAATGAGCCGTATATGAGGCCAATAAGAGTCCAATATGGCTCATATTGAGGCTCATTTGATATATGAATTTAAGCTCATATAAGTCGACATTCGGAGGAAGGGATACACCCTCATATCGGACTCTTAAATGATCTCATTATGAGCGTAATGGCTCCGAAATAGGACTCCTTAAAGACTCATTTATGACTCCAAATGTTTGCTGGGATGTTTGCGGGGTTATGTATGTATGTACATACATCTGCTTTTGCTTAAAGTTATATTTTTTGTCTTTTTTCTATTTAGATCCCTACCTGCACCCCTGTTCGTTCTAATTACATTTACATATGTTATTCTGTTTTCCATTATCTTCATTTTTATCTTTATACTCTATCGATAACAAAATCGATAGTAACATCGATATAAATTTCTATGGCAAAATCGATAATATTGGTAGCAATATCGATTAGAGAATCGATAAAAATATCGATAACAAAACCGATAAATAATCGACAACACAAATCTATTAGATAATCGATAAAAATTTCGATAACAAAATCGACAAAAATATGGATAACAAAATCGATAACACAAATCCATTAGAAAATCGATAACAAAATCGACAAATAATCCATAACAAAATCCATAAATAATCGATAACAAAATCCATAAAAAATCGATTACAAAATCGATAAATCATCGATAACAAAATTGAGGACAAGTTCGATAAAATTTTGAATAGCAAAATCGATATTAATATTGGTCACAAAATCGATTGAAAAATCAATAAAAATATCGATAGCAAAATCGATAAATAATTCATAACAAAATCGATGACAAAAATCGCTAAGTAGTCGATAAAAAAATCGATACATAATCGATAACAAAATCGATAAATATATCGATAAAATATTCGATAAAAGTATCGTTTACAAAATCGATAAAAATATCGATAACAATACCAATAAAAATATCGATAACAAAATCGACCCCATTAAGCTGGCAGGGTACTATTTTATATATATATAAGGAAAATTTGAAAGTTAGGGTGCTCGAACACCCCCCTTCCCCTACCTGACTACGCCCATGAGTATAAGTATTTATTGATTTTGAATACGAATTCATAATCAACTTTAATGCCATTTACTTTCTGATCGGAAATTGGAATTTCGTTATACACTTCCTTTTTGGAAAAGTTAAATACCTTGAACTATTGATAACTACATTGGTTATGCTCCATTTAATCGGCCATTCAAGAAAATTAAAACAACACCTTTTATTTTTGTTTCTTTTTTTTATTTGGCATTTGCTCGTTTTTATTCACGAGCGCTTAATGCAAAACTAAACATAATCTTTGGCATAATTAGCTTTTTGTATATTTGTTGGTATGTACATTCTTAAAAAATAAAAAGACGAATAAATGTGTATAAAATGAGTATATTACTACAAATATAACTTTAAAAAAATCAAAAAATATAAAAAGCTATACAAATGCGTTGTTTTCTACGTTTATAATGCTTGAATTAAATAATTAAAACCTACTTGGATTGAGTAAAATGAGTATGCATTCTTAGCTAAAAGTTTTCAAATGTACTTAAGTACACGTTTACATACATATACATATGTATTTATGTACAAAAATTGATGTACAAAAATTTATGTTTATGTAGTTAGCAGATTAAGCAAAATTATACTTTGGTTCCATCGTCATACACACTAACTATTCTAACAATTTTCTTTTTTTTTCTTCTTCAAATATTGCACTCTACACGGCCTACAAGCTAATACATATTTAATTACAAAAATAAGTATTTTACGTTAAGTATTTATAGATGAAACTTAACAAAGTTCAACTTTTAAAATTAAAGACTAGACAATCTCGTCCGTTTTTTTGTGATTGGATATAAATATACAAATTATGTGCGTATTTTTAAACAGTACAAATTTCTTATATTTCTAAGGCAATTAATTTCAATGAGTGCAAGAACACGTGCTACAACTACATATAATAACATACATACATACATACATACATACAAACATATTTATAAAGGCAAGCTAAGATCACTAATTAAATATTGTATTTGTGCAAAAAGCTGTCTAAAATGTGAAATATGTACCTACATATGTAGGCTTCTGCATACATAATTTTTATACAAATATGTAACTGTATTTATTTGAGCATTATCAAATATTATGGAAAGCAAATAATTCAACGTGTACGTTGCGAAAAATACTGTCTGTTGCTTTTAAACTATTTGAACAAAAGTCCATTAAGAATTGCCATATTCAAAAAGCAGTGAATCCTAATAGAATTTAGTTCGATAAATACATACAAACGTACCTTTTTTACAATGTTGAATTTTTTTTTTATTCTTATGTTTTTACATACCCTAGTAAAAAGCAAAGAAAAAAGACATATCTTTGGTTTATTTTTTTTTTACCAATGTTTCCATAAGTTTAGTGAGAGATTCAATGCATGAAAATGAGAGTGAAACTAGCTTATTTCTACGATTGAATCCTCGTTGGCAGAGATTTATTTAAAAAAAAATAGTGCATTTTTGAGTACACGCACTGTCATAATTATAAGCGCACCACATTTTGACAAGTTTTAACCATTAATTTTTTGATATTTTGTTTAAGTTATTTTGTTAAAAAAAATATAGTTTATTCTTTAACAAAACACATAAAATTCCAAGCTTCAAGCTATGTGGAATATGTAAAAAAAAAAATTCAAGAAACTCGACCAAATTTCGTCCAAATTTCGAGTGTGCACTTAGTTTTCTTAGAAAGTTATTGAGTGTGCAGTTTTGTAGTCCATTCAATTTTAAGGCAATAAAGTGCAAGTTTGAAATACTAGACCTTGCCGTTAATTTTTGGCAATTTTTATTTTTTTATTATTTTATTTTTTTTTTTGAAGGAGTTGTTCATTCTCTTCCATATTAAAAAATCTTCCAACATAAATACTCAAAATCTTTCTAAGAGATGTAATTAAAAAGCCCGAAATTTTTACGAAGGTATGCTGAATTTTTTTTTTTTCTTTTTAATATTGCTCAACTCTTGAAATGGATTTAGCCTGTTTTCATTAAAGACTTAACTTTATTTTTATATAAAAATAGCTAAAATCAAGTAACAAAACATAAATGGTCAATAAGGTGCCACAGGGTGTATGTCTACATTTTGTTAAATCTCACAATTTTGTTTTTGTATAAAAATAGCCACTATGTATTACCTTATGGCACATTTAGTAATTAACTACATCTAACTTTTTTTTCATATTTGTTTATCACAATCAGTTGTCTACTCAACTAACAGCGCAAACTTTTTGGCGCAACTTTTTTTTAAATTATTTTGGTTTTGATAATGATTTAGTGCAATGAAATAAAACACTTCATTAAGTTTAATGAACCTGTTTTGGGCGAAGGGAAATACGAAGTTTCCCCTAGCTATTGCCTTGGAAAAGGCTGACGATATTGCGCAGTTTAAATTTTTTTATTGAGCTTATACAAGTAAAAGATTAAGTACTTTCGTGTGACGATATTCTAGCCTTTCCAGGTCATCTATGTATATATGTATTTAACATATTTTGCAGAAGTATATATTTTTTTACCAGTCCCAAGCATTGAGGAATTCTAATTATAGTAAATAGTATATATTAAGGATATTTGAATATCAATTCGGAGAAAAATCCGAAACAAATTAGTTTTTTTCAAACCGGTTCTTCTAAAACGTGGCTATAGCATCATTGATATCCTACGAAGGGGTAATTTTTTTTGTAGATCCTTGATCACCGTCAGCCATAACTTTGCTAATTTCATTATTTTGGGATAACTCAAGAAAACAATCAGCTACGATTTCAAGGAATGTAACTATGCAAACAATTTCGTGACACATTTTCGTCGAACCTCTAGTTCATAACATACCTATGTAACTTACTAAAAAAAGTATAGTTGGTAGAATCGATACTGAGACACTAAACTGAAATGGATGTATTCGGTACTTTGAGGATATCAAATAAATCACATAAACTGATAATTTAATTTATGCGAAATAAGATTAGACAATTTCGGATTTTTCTAGGCTACTTCGGGAGGTGTCTTTCATACAACGCATTACGCTGGTTTAGCACAGATCACCATAGGAAAGGCCAGGATAAGTCTTTATAATCGGGTCAAATTTATCATTTTCGCTTTAAACATTTTAAGCATTTAATTTAAGTAGTGCCTATCATTCGCGTCTTTTCCAAGTACATGTATGTATGTACCTTTCTTAAGTGAGTCACAATTTACAGCACCACATCTTTTCAGGCTTTCAAACATACCAACAGTCTAAATTTTTCAAAATTTTTCTTTGTCTTTTTGAACTATCCAACGTGTGCCCAAAGCTTTAGGCCAAAATCGCATAATTACTGGTCAACTCAAAGGGGCTCGTCTTTGTCGAATGTGTAAAATTATTTTTTGGCGAAAAGTCCACCGGTTGATCTTGCATTTGATCTTGAATCTCATTTCGTATGCTGCACAGCTGTAACGGCATATGCGCCACTGTATCCACGAATCCTTGCGTGCCAACATGGTGCTCACGATAAAGTAGATCACTCGGCGTCGTCGCCGTTTGTATGACGCTGATGCGCTTGAAACGTTCATACTCCTCCTGAGACATGGGACTTGTAAGCATGGTGTAGGATTTCTCTTGCGCCATATATGGTTTTGTTATGCCATCGTTGTCTGACAACGGCGAAACGGTTTGGACCTCTAAGGGACTTTGCGTTGATTGCGGTGTATATTCAGTGTGACCATACGTAGCTTGACGACGATCTTTCTCCTTCTGCAAAAGTTTGTTCGCCAAAGTGGACTTGGCCGAATCCGTCGCCGGTTGAGTGTTCACAGAGTGTTTGGCATTGGACGCGTTTGCGGAATTAGTAGAAGTGCGATTTGAACGCGACTCACTGCGTTCACCGACACGATGGTGATTCTTCATGCACGAAGACTCTTCATGCTTGTACAGATATGATTTGAGTGCAAAAGCTTTGCCGCAACGGCCGCATGTGTGTGGCTTGGTGTTCGAATGGGTTTGTATGTGTGCGCGTAGATTGGATTTATCCGCAAAGGCTTTGTTGCAAACGCTGCACTTGAAGGGTTTCTCACCTGGGTGAATAAAAGTGAAGAAAGAAAAACGGTCAGTTTGAAAGCGATGAACAGTATTTCGTTTTTTCTTTTTTTATTATTTTTTCTTAGCTTACCTGTGTGCGTGCGTATGTGTCCCTGCAGTAGCCATGGTCGAGAGAAGCATTTGCCGCAGTATTGACACTCACAGCCCTGATTGTGGGTGCGCACATGCATGCTGAAGGCGGGCATCGAGACGTAGACTTTCTCACAGTATGGACATCGTCGCGCTTTCTTATCCATTATTGACCTATTTCGGGGAGGGGAGTTATTGGTGAATTAGTGAACGTACTCAAACTAAGGAAAATTCACTTCGTTACCTGTGTGTTTGTCGATGTCTCGCCAAATTTGACGATGTCGAATACTTCTTGCCGCATTCCGGACAGACGTGCTCATCTTCCAGCAAATTACCGCCGTTAGCGCTACCCTCAGTGCCATTGCTCAGCTTGCTCATCTCCGAGTTGCTGGAATGGCTTGAGATGCCTGTAAATTGATCCTCACTGCTGCAGCTGGGTAAACTGCTGCATGAATGCTCATCGTAACGCGAGTGGTCCGAGATTGTGGAACGTCGCAATTTTTTGCGATCAAATACTTTGTGACTGTAGTAGTTGGAGTCATCATCGGAGGATGAGTAGAATGTTGTACGCGCTACCGCTACCGCTGTAGTGGAATTGTGGTTGTGGTGTTCTGTTTGGATGTTCTGATAATCCCGTGTCCCATAGAGTGTCGTACTGCTGCTGTTTATCTGGTTGTTGTGCCACATTTCAGTTGAAAAGTCATTGTTTAAAGGCGCTTTGTGAGATATAGGTACAAAGCTTTGTTGTTCTGTCATGCGAACATCTGGTGCAGTGGCAGGAGCTGGACTCTCATCAGTGAGATACTCCAATTCTTTGTGCCGTTTGATGTAGTCTTTAATTTCTGTTATGTTGGTTGTGCTGAGGTGGCCGGCAGCCAATGTAACCTCAGCCAGTTGTGTAAGGTTATACAGCTCTTCGGGGATTACGGTCGGCTGTTCCTTCGTCATTTTGGCTTATCTGGGTTTTTGTTAATGCTTAACTGTTAACGAAAAGAATAAAAGTAATTTTTATTACATCGTTTGTCATGTTTAATAAGTTGAAGAAAGACATAAAAAGAGGGCATGCTTTACGACTATCCACTGCCAGTTGATGATCAGGCGGGAATGAATGCAAGGAGCGACCTCATTGGAGTCACTACTAGAGATGGAAAGGCCAATGCGCTCTCCTCGTAATTCTTGACTGTAACGATTCGAGCCCTGATATCCGTAGAGATTAGAAAGCTCTCAATATTTTTCTACTTAACAACCAAGAGGTATCACAAAGGACCTTGCGTTTAAATCGGTGGCTTGAGGAATTGTCACCACTCCTAACCTAACTCATAGATCGAACAGCCTACCTACAGAAACATTTATCAGAAATGCCAAAAATTCCCCTGGAGCAGTATTTGGCCGATGTCTGCCTTTATAGTTCGACCTTGTGAGTCTGAGGTCATTAAGAGCAAAAAGGGAGGGACAGAAAAACTTTAGTGCGAACATCTTGATCTGCCGGCGGGTAGAGTAGGTCGCGAAAATTTTATCAGAAAATAAGAAATAATGCTAAAGTTTTTTTTTAGTTCCGATTCCATCCGTGATTCGATCAAGAAATTCCTCATTTTATGCATAATAATCTACGGTTTGCCTAAGAAAATCTATAAAATTTTAAAAAAATTTGAATTTGAGGCTGCTATAAAAAATTAATGGGTCTTGGCAAAGCGTAATTTCATATATTTACGAAACGATCTTGGGAGGTCGATTTATTTTTTGATCGATTTTTTTTTTTATTTCAGTTTTTTCATACTTTGAAAAACTGAAGACCTTCTTAAGCAGGCCTGCCAATTAGGCTCGAACCGTATAATTTGTCGCCCAATTTTTTTTACTTCAATTGACAACTCATTTTTCAATTTGGCCCAAGGACAATGGATGATCTGGCAAAAAAGTGGAAGGTCAAATGAATAATAAGTGATAAAACATGACAAAATTTCACGTGGCTTGCAAGTTGCAACATTTCTAATAAATCGTGAAACTTTTTCATTTCAGTTAAAGTTAATAATTTTTGTTTTGTACGGTGGTGGAAATTTTAAGTGTTCCATGATTGTACTTTAAAACCACGCTGTATGGGTTTTCAAATTTCCAAAGTGCTAAAGTATTTTCATTTCCAATAAGTACTGCGACATATATATGTATATCAGTATGCATAAATACATATGTACATTGCATATTTTTTATTAGACCTACATAGCTTATCTTAAATGGATTTGCCTATTTATTATTGTCTGCGGAAGTGCTTATGAGCGAACACATCAATTTAATCTTGGAAATATTCATTTGCCTTAAATATTTCTATCACCAACGATTGCACATTATTTTCAAGGAAAACATGCACGCCACATGGGGCACTCAATGTTGGCGCACAAAAATCAAAACCAAGCCAACCAGCAAAGCGCAAAGAATTTCACAACGTAACCAACTCGTTGATCCCGAACCACTTGCAGTGATGGACCGCCCTAAAGTCGGTCGGCGAGATTTTCTATGACCAAATAAACATCTCACAGCTGAAAACCCCGACCACAGTCACACCATCGACCGACCAGCTGAGTGTAAAAGCGGCCGCTGACCATTAGTGATCACCACTTGCCACTTTGCCACTTGTCTAATGCCACACGACCGATTCACACTGCTCTCGGTACTCGCATTTTCCAAACCTCCCAACGGCCAAATTGCTATACAATTTATAGTATACGTACATACATACATACAAACTTTTTTTTTGTGCGCAATCAGATTTTTCAAATCGTAAACCTACATACATACATACATATATATACACATAGATACATACATATACATATATGCAGCGCATGACGCGGTCAGCCAGCGAGCCAAGAAGCCACTAGGCAGTCAGTTCAGCTGTTCGATGTTCGATGCTTAACTTGTTGCTTTTCGAGGGAAAGGTGAAACAACCTGCTAAATACGAAATGTGCGTCATTTTCCTTTTAGACGCTCATAATTTAATGAGTTGAATTGAGGCCAAATCGGCGGGTACCAACTAAGAAAATTCGTGTCCGCGTGCGACAATATGCCAATATATAGGAGAAACATATGAGGTGGGAAGGCGGCTAACCTTTTTGATGAGTTTGGCGAAAAAAAAAACCAAAACAATATCCCTCTGTGCACCTAAACACATACACATATGTATATATAGTACTATGTACATTAGTGTGCCTCACCAAAAAAGTGGCGAGTTTTTCCACCGGAATCGAAAAATGTAGGTATTATTTTGTTTAAAGACTTCCGCTAAAATATTAGGGAAAAATGTTATGATTTACGTGAGCTGGGCTGATTTTAGAAGACCTAAAAAAATTAAGTTTTTTATAAACGAAATTGGTTTCTAAAAATTTTTTTTTTTTTCAAAATATCACCGCAGTGCGGAATCAAAATAATGAAATTTTTGAAGATCTTTTCAAAACGGCCAAGCATACATATTACGGCGAAGGTTTAAAAATATAATAAATTGCATAATTCCAATGGAAAAATACTACCAATTTTTTGGTTTTTTTATATTGAGAGTGATGCACCCTAATGTACATACATACATCCATACATACATACAATTGTATACACTTAAGTACTCTATATATTCAACATTCTCGCTTAAGCCGTTTTGATGCTAATAAAGAAATAACAATTAAATACAAAGATTTGTGGTCAATTATTTGGTGATAGCAACAAATGTCTCTTCGTGGAAATTTTACTTCCGCCAACGTTGGTTGAGTTTGCATAAATTTTGCTAAAAATACTTTGGTAATAAAAATTAAATGCGCTATTTTTGACCAAGTGGTACCATATGTGTGAATTGACTATAAAAAAAGGATCGAGGTTAAGGGCCAAGAAGTTAGACGCAAGTTGTTTAAAGTCTAAGCTCGTTAAGACAGCAAAAGAGTGGATGCTGGAATGGTTCCACCTTACCGTCTTCTATGCACCTGTTTCAATAAGGGCTGATGTTGAGCCTTACCGAATGGGGTTCAGTTGGAAAATGGCTTCTAAGACCTCTTGCGATTTGACCTGTCATTGCAATTTTTCGGCCAGCACCCTCAGCACCAACGAGACGCCCAACATTCGTACAACAGTTTAATTGTTACCATTGATGAGCTTGATAGTGAAGTAGGGTTGTCAAGCACACCCCGACAATTTTCCGGGCATTTCATCAAAGACGCAACGGCCTTAATTGCCACATTCTTGACTGCAATTGCTGGAGCTCCCTCATATCCTTGTCCATATATGTACATAGATACAAAACAAACTATACCTAGTTCCGAAAGATACTTTTTAATAGCTCTTGATAACTATCTCAAACCCAGATGGGTGATAAAATAAAAATTCGCAAACCCTCTCATAGTAAAATGCTAAATCCGCCACTGGACATAGTCATTCATCACTTTCATATTTTTTAATAATAGCACTGCGAGCTGATCGCTATACGTTTTTTTTCGTATTCCAATAATCAGAAATTAATTAATCCTTAAATTATTTAGTTCAAAAACGAGGCAAAGTGGATTTTTCGAATCCTTGAACATTTTGAAGATATATGTATGTATGTACATGCGAATCTACAGCTCAAGCTTGTACACCCCTGGTATATCATATATGTATGTACGTTATTGTATGAATATTTAATAATTCGCATAGAAAGACTTTATTTTGAATTTCTATTCCTCATTTGCTGCTGATAATGTTCCTATACAATTTGAATAAGTGTGTATGTATGTATGTATGTATGTAAAAATTCTCGAATATATTTATTATATAAATATTTTTGCGCAGCTTTCCATACCTGCCCGATCGACTTGGCTACAAAATTTGGAAAATATTATGTGTATGTATGTTTGTATTTTCCTAATTCTTATTTTAAGTTTATTATTATTTTTGTTCGTATTTCTTTTTTTTTCTTTTTTGCTTAAGACGCAAACTGGGAAACGCACGCGGTACATCTGCTGTCACATTTTTGCTAAACCCCCTGCCCCCGCCCCCTCTCACACACGCGCATATTTCTGACGCCTCGACTGGTGGCAACAGCTGACATCTGGGAAATTTCTAAGATGCGATCAAACATCCATACACAGTGCCGGCCACTTAAATAGCGCTCTCTTTTGATCCTTAGCCAATTTTTTTGAATAGACGTTTTTTTTTTAAATCTACTTTTTCGAATGCCGAGTAAGCCGAATTTTCACCATCGAATAAATAGGCTTTTCACATAGTTAATTTACGAGTATATACCAGAATCTAAAAGCTCTAAATATTTATTTTATTGAACATTTAACTAGAGAACTTTTTTTTATTTTATATCTGAAAACTGCATACCCAAAAACATTATAAAAAATTATTTTTAAAAGTTTTAAATTGTTATGAAAATTTGTTCAATTATTATAAATTTCGAATAAAGTTGAAAATCGGATTTAAAGGTTTTTATTATAGAATATTTGTGGTATACTTTTTATGGAAAATTAATGAATGGTAAATAAATAAAAGTGGCCCACTGTATCTATGTACATTTGTACGTATGCACATTAGGGTGGTCCAAAAATGCATGTGGGGGGGAGTAAAAATTATTTATATGGGGAAAAAACAAATTTTCGCAGAAATGGTATAGAATTCTTGGAAACCAATATTTTTCGATCGGAAAACTCAGTTCTCTTCAGCAGATTCCCAATAATGATACCGTATTATTTATTTAACCATTTTCTACGAAAAGTTGTTTTTTCCATATATAATACATGGAAAATTTGAGCGCTTTGAGCGACCTCGAAATATTTTTTTGATTTCCAAATAAAAAATAGGGGTATATTTTTTCATATAGAACAATCCGAGGGGGTTAGAGCATTAAAATTCCGACTTTACTTATTTTGGACCACCCTAATGTGCATACGTCCATTGTGATCGTATCCATGCGTCTACGTGTAAAAATATGCTTTTTGACGCGAGTCTAATTGTTGTAGCTTGTTTG